AAATTCTACAGTTAAACAAGAAAAATCAGATGCGCAAATATAAGATGGATGACAAATGGCTTGGCAATAGTATGTATGAAAAGAATCTAGGGGTCTTAGTAGAGTCAACAATGTAACATGGAATCAGTAAAAGCAAATACCATGCTAAGTGACATCAAGAACAGTGGTGCAATTAAAAGAATTAGCAATACCATTGCATTCTACTTTTATCTACTTTAAGAATTATATCCAGAGATTATAACATGTCCAGAGAAGGGAAACCATGGTAAAATGTCTGGAAACCAAGAAGAAAGGTTGGGGGAACGTTAGGAAAAGAGAAGGCTGAAAGGTGATATAGTAGCAGTCTTTAAACATTTGAAGGGCTGTCATATGGAAGATGGAGTACGCTTATTTTCAGCAAGCTCTGGAGCCGAAATGCAAAGCAATAAAGTCAAGTTACAAAAAAAAAAGAGATTAGCAATAGTATGTATGATCTAGGGGTCTTAGTAGAGTCAACAGTGCTCTGTCTAGGGGATGGAACTGATAAGCTTTGGTGTCCCTTCTGGCTCTGAAATTCTCTGTTTCTACAAAGATATTGCTTCCCTGCACACTGCAATCTTTTAAAGAACCACAAGACATGCTCTTTTGCTGCCACTAACATGGCCACCCCTTAGGAATTACTGGAAAATGCAGATTTTCCCCCTCCAGTATGTTCACAGTCTTGAGATGTAAATCGTTATTTATCATTATGATAGATGGTGCCCCTGGCCAACAGAACAGTTATCTGGTGAAATACAGCTAATTGCAAGGAGCATTTTTCTTTTCTGGAAAACAACAAGTCCCTCAGTACTCATATGTATAATTCTCCAGAAAGATGGATAGTCTACAAAGCTGCAGTGAATATTTTTGAATGGTCCTAACAATGAGAAAATGTAATTTTCAGGAATATTGTACAACAGAATGCCAGGTAAATAACTACGTTTCAGGGAAAATATTAGGAGCAATGGTGGGTACTCATGTTAAGTAGAACAGAGTCACTGAAATTAATTATCTTGGTTCAGAAAATAGCCTGATCCTAGATTATAATGAGAAAATCTAGTTTTCTTCTGAAAATAAATGACAAACTTTACAGAGGTGAAGAAAACAAAACATGCTGAAAGGTTCTCACAAAATTATAATTATATCAAGAGATTTTTTTTGTATTTTTTAAAAGTAACCAATAAGAAACAGAGTTCCAGACTTCCAGCTTGCCGCTGCAACGAGACAGCAGCAGGAGGACAGAGCTCCATCTCCTGAGCTGAATTCTGACCTCTTTGGGACCCCCCCAGGGGGGTTAAAACCACCCCAAGGAGGTGGTGGGGTTAAAACCATCCCAAGGAGGTGGTGAAATGGGGGAGAAGCCTGTTGATCATGGAGGGGGGGGTACAGTGGTTACCCACGTTTGATCCAGGAAACTCCCCAATCAATCAGCGGGTGGAAACAAGCAGCTGAATAAGCCTGCCTGCTAGTCATTGGCAGCCGGCAAAAGAAGAAGAGATAAACCAGCCAAATTAAACATCGTCGTTAACATTGGGTGACATACAAAAGCTTAATTATACTACTGTATAAATATCCCTGGATGGAATAATCCCTTTAACAGGAAAAAAAGAGGGTCTCTTAGCCCCAACTCTAAATTAAGCAGCGGTGGATCTGGGGAAGGGAAAAGAGACACAAAGAGAAGCAAAGAAAATGAATTGGACATTAATTAAACAATTATACTGCAAGGAAAGAAATTCTATATTACCTTTGGTGTTAAACTTAAGAAATTTTCCTCTTAAATTGTTTTTGCAAACAACGCTCAGAGTAATGTTTATCTACAGTGTTGGCAAATAGCCTAGAAACATGACATTGAAAAAGCCTAGAAACCTGATTTGAAATTATGTTTTGTCTTTCTTTTTTCTTCCTCTTCTGAGAACTGACTAAAACATAGACAATTAACTTTGGAAAGTATAATACAAACATCGAGTGAACGGGACTGCCAAAATACATTGGAGATTGGATTCAATTAACCCTAAAGGTCATCAACCTACTGAGGAAACTATTGAAGGAACTGGACTGACTGCTCTAAGCTACTAGACATTTTTCACTTGAAATACAAGTACCTGTCATCTGACCACATAATGTCACAACAAGGGAAATTCTGGGAGGAAACAAAATCTACCCTGCAAGCAATCTTAGAAATAGTGAGATTCCAGAACCAACATACACAATCATTCACGGAAGAACTAAAGGAGGACTGTATTCAGCAAGAGACAGAAAATATCGAACAAATGTGAAGGTTGAGGACGATGTATGCCAAAGAAAAGAAGGACCGGAGGAAATCAGAGGGGGGAATTCAGGAGAGCTGGAGAGAATCTTAGCTGTGTTAAGGGAAGATAAGGGGGAGTGAGGACCAGCAGCATTAAAAATATCCTGGAAGACCAATTCGAGATAGATCAAATTCATAAAGACCTATTGGAGATTGATCAAGTGTATAAAATGTGGAGTGAGGACCAGCAGCGTTAAAAATATCCTGGAAGACCTATTCGAGATAGATCAAATTCATAAAGATCTATTGGAGATTGATCAAGTGTATAAAATGCTTTCAGATTACACAAACAATGGCAGAATATTTAGGGAAACAGAAGTAAGAACTGGGAAAATTCAAAAAAAGAGAGAAGGAATCACTTAGAAAAGATGAAAAAGAGGGAAATATTAAGGTGGCATTATTGAAAGCATGTATTTATTTATTTAATTTATACCCCACGTTGAAAGCATGTATTTATTTATTTATTTAATTTATACCCCACCCATGTAGACACAAGTCTACTCTGGGCAGCTAACATCTGGAATTGTAAAGGGGCATATCTTATTGTGATTGGATTATTTTGAAACTAATGGTAGTTCCTCACATTTGGCGGGAAGAAGAGACTGAGACCGAATTGGAAAATTCTCATTTTCTACTTTATTAACACATGGAGTATCAACTATGATACCAACAGGGTCAAAGCAAGATAAATCTGGTAAATGTCCATAACTAGTCAATGCGGACCTTTCTTCCAACAATAGTCCATTCACTGTGGGGCTGGACCAAACCGTTCGCAATCAGTGATTTTGCACAGGGGAGCACTCCTAATCACGCATATCATGCCACAACACGGGTGACGTGCCCAATCTCCCTCCTTCAGTGGGATCGGGGCGTATCAGCTTTTTCCCACATCCTTGCCTGTGCAGAAACACTATCACAGTACATTCTTGGGTTTTGTAAACCATTTCTCCTTCCCTTGGAACTTCTGGATTTGGGAGTAAACCTACTTTCAGATTGGGAAAGTCTTTATTTATTTATTTATTTGATTTATATCCCGCCCAACTGTTATCTTTATACCACTCGGAGCGGCTAACAACAAAAAATATACAATTATAATAATGTAGGTCACGTGCTTTCTCATACTTTTGATTACCTTTCTCTGATTGTACTTCTGTCTTGCTCTCTTGATTCTCGTTCTCCACTATTCTGCTCCAGAATCTCCTTTCTCCCACTTCTTTTATATCCTCCCCCCAAAGAGTTTTAACTCATCTCTTTTTCTTCCTTCTCCCTCCTCCACTAAGCAGAATTCTATGTTCTTCTTCCCTTCCCATATGTATGTAGGCATCAGTCTCGAAAAACTATGGTAACAAGTTCTGTATGGAGGACTTGGAACAGTGTCTAGTGTGGCTGAGGAGGCCAATTCGAGAGTGACAATCTCTTCCACACTGAAGACAAATCCAATCTGTCCCCTGTCCAGCTCCCTCGTTTTGCTGCCTCGGCCTGCTGGACAAGGGTCTCTTCAAATTGGGAGAGGGCATGATGTAACGCCTGCCTCTAGTCTGAACGCTCAGATGTCAGTTTCCCATCTGTTGAGGTCTATTCCTAAGGCCTTCAGATCCCGCTTGCAGATATCCCACACCCTTCCCATAACACTCCTGTCATTCCCAAGACACAAAGAACAAATGATTGCAACACAATGTTTAACAAGCATGATTAAACGTAGATTGCAAAATTAATGTAGATAGAGTGAAAAATTAATGTGTTTTTTAAAAAAGGAAACAAGTTTCTAGGGAGTAACCCAGCCAGCTTCTTGTTGTGTTTTGATAATACTTGAATATTTTGGGTTCATTCTGTTGGAGTTGTGAATTTTTGGTAAAATTCCTCTAGTGGCACAGCAGAAGTGAAGGGATTCCAAGAGCAGAACCATCTCATGTTGCCCAGAGTAATCTACCCCTTTTCTCATCAACTGCCACTTACACTCTCACAACAACACACTCTGAGGTACGTATTAATAGGAGAATTTTAAAAAGTATTATCTACAGATGAATAGTAAATTGACAGACATGACTACAGACTCAAGAGAGGGAAAAGGCACACAGAGGCGGTGATCGCTTTGAATTCAGAGGCAGGAGGGGACAATTGGTTAGTGCTGGATTGAATGACAGTCACCCCAGGCCAGAAAAGTCCCTCCCAAAAGGAGTGTAAAGATTCCCAACTTAACAGTCGTCACAACCCTCCTTTTAATGTTTTGCTTTCTACAGATTAATCACATTATTAACAATGACAAAGCCATTAAGAAAAATCCCATCCTGGTTTCTAAATGGCCTAAATATCTATAATAAAGAATGAAGTGCTTTGACGGAGCACAGTGCCAGGATCGAGTCAAATGAAGGCAAGGTCTTAATGCAACTCAGTAAAGAAGGTGCGGGGTTGGAATGGCGTTTGTGGCGCCCATAGAAGATGCTGGGCTAAAACTCCCATCCGTCATTGTTTATAGGCCGGCTGGAACCTCCGGGCGCAGGAGAGGCGCCCCGGCCCCGCCGCCTAGCGCAGCAACCCCACCGAGGGACACCTCCTCCTCCTCCTCCTCCTGCTTCGCCTTTCGTCGCGTCCGTTAATTCTCATTCTCGGAAAGAGAGAGGCGGGGGAAGAGGAACGAATGGAAGGCGGGGACTGGTTCGAGAGAGTGTCGTTCAGCCACAGAGCAGCGGATTGGAGGAGAGGCCCGGAAACGGAGCTTGGCGGCCAATGGATGCTGCTTTCTCTTCCGTGTAGCTCTGCCGCGGAGGGCGTGTAGCTGGTCGCTGTAGCAACCATGGGGAGCTTGTTACAGTTTCTGAAGTTGGTGGGGCAGCTGAAGGTGAGCAGAGTGGGGTTCCTGTGGAGCCTAGGGAGGGAGTTTGGGGAGGGGGGGTCAGGGCCGCTGGTGGTATTTTCTTTCCATCGCGGGCGCTTGTTCAGGGGGCAGTCCTGGGAGGAAGGGACGGCGAAGCCCAGAGGAGGCCAGGCTGCAGCCCCAACCAAGCCCTGCGCAGGGAAAATGGGTCCCCCCCCCCGGGCTCCGGGCCGTGCGGCGTGGCCTTGGGCGAGCTTTTCCTTTCCTTTTGCGCCTGGGCCCCCTTCCACGGCACTTGGGAGGGCTTCTGGGCCCCCTCGTGTCATTTAGGAACCAGGTCCAGGGATGCCCTTGGGGCTGGGGGGGGGGGGAAAGGAGGAGCGGCGTGGCAGACGGAAGCCGGGAAAGAGCGTGGCCGGAAGAAAAGTTGCGGAAGGACGAGAGTGACGGCTTAAGAGAAGAGCGACGCCGTGTGGATGAAGAATTGGAAGAGAAAGCGGAGGTGCAGGTGTATGTGGGGGGGTCTTCATGTGCACAATGCACAACGTTAGGTGCAATTGTTTATTTACTTACTTTCCCGCTAGCGCACGTGCTGCTCTGGGCGGTTTACAAGGTTTTTTAAAGTCTTAACTGACAATCGGTGCATAGTGATAAATTCAGCTTGGTGCTGCAAGGACTTGTTCACATGTTACACTAAGAACAGATATAAAGTGTCTGTACCCATTGCAATATATTGGTTGAGGTCCCGGTAGGATGAGGCAGTATGCATAATGCCTCTTGATTTTGGGGGCTGGGGGAAATCTCCGGGTCTGGCTTTTGCGGCCAAAAAGAGACTGCACAGGTGCATATTTAAATGTCTTCTGCCATGACATTTTTTTGTTGTTTTGAAATTCACTTTTAAATCACTAAGTATCTATTTCAGTTAATATAGATCTTAGATGGCTGTGAAGTACATTTTTGCAAGGTGTTTTTGACTGTGTTGTTTAAACTGTTTTTGACTAGAGAGTGCCACGAACAGGCTGGGTATACAGAAAGGTAGCAAATCCAGAGAGTGTCTCGGATCATATGTACAGGATGGCAATCATGGCTATGGTAACCGAAGATAAAACACTCAATAAGGACAAGTAAGTGATGGTAGTATTTGTGCTTAGTCATTAAGTCATGTCCGACTCTTTGTGACCCCATGGACCAGAGCACGCCAGGCCCTCCTATCTTCCACTGCCTCCCGGAGTTGGGTCAAATTCATGTTGGTTGCTTTGATGACTGTCCAGCCATCTCGTCCTCTGCCGTCCCCTTCTCCTCTTGCCTTCACACTTTCCCAACATCAGGGTCTTTTCCAGGGAGTCTTCTCTTCTCATGACATGGCAGTAGTCATTCTTTAATTTATATGAGGAACTGTAATTATGATGCATCAATTGGTTCATTTGCTCCATCAGTTTGGTTCCTGATGGGAGCAAGTTAGCTGTTTTCAGGGGTAACTGGCTCTTTACACATAGCTATCTCTTTTTAGATCCAGGCTGATATATCTGCAGTAGTAACAATCAGTATTGTAACCTTCCAAAACCAACAATTAACAGATAAATCAGTCGTATTTTATTGACATAATATTAAGTCATTTTTTTCTCAGAAGGGAATTATCTGCTTGGAAAACCCTGAAAAGGATCGCCATAAGTCAGAATTGACTTGATGGCAGATAATCATTATTATCTGGATATGTTGAAAAAGCTGGCAGTTGTTTGATAACATTGACTTAATGTGTGAATTAGTAAAAAAAAAAAAAGGCTATAATGGGACATGTGTTCACTAATGTATATATTGCCCTAACACACCATAGTACCTATGCTGTTTGCTCTTACACGTCCCTAGCAGAATAATGGCCTTTATTTCTCTATTACAAGCTGAAAAATCCAAGCTACCTTCTTGAGCTTTATCCCTTTATTTTTTTGTATGTATAATAGGTACCTTGGAATAACTGGATTCTAATTAGCACTAGCCATTTTAAGTATAGAATTGGATAGTAAAACTTTCTCTAAGTTTATTAATATATTAATCATCACTTCTAGTTTTGTGAATGTAGTGTCAGCATAGTAAATTTGCATTGTAAGTCAAGGTAAATTCTAAAGTTCAGCCTGGAGTAGTTGATGGTTACAGTTTTGTCAGACTTGGTGTTGAAACTTACCAGGCTGGAGTATTAATACTGCCTAAAACATCATATAGGTGGTTAGCAAGCTCTTTATTAGAATAACTCTTATTGAAGCTGGAAATTTAGTTTTAAAACTAAGTTAGAATAGGGGAAAAAAAACAGAAAACATGGAGCTTTTAAATCATACACTAAAACTTCATTTCTTCTTACATCTCTACCTTTTAAAACTCCTATCTCTAGTAGGAGTTCTAGAGTTTTATCAATTCATTGTAAAGGTTTGATGTTTTGAGAGCCAGTATGGTGTATGGGTTGAATGTTGGACTAGGCAGTAGTAAAACATTCTTTGCACAGCTCACATTTCTTGAAAATGATTTGGTTCACCCTGACTTGGAAGTAATAGGACACTACATAACTGCAGTGTGTGGTTGTAATAAAAAATACCATGCTACTGTTGCTTTTGGATTTTTATTCATGGCGCAATACAGCCTCATGGTGCAGTGGTTAAACTGCAGTATTGCACCTAAGACTCTGCTCATTAGCTAAATTCAATCCTGACAGGCTCAGGTAGAGAGCTCAAGGCTTACTTAGCCTTCCAAGCTTGGTAAATTGAGTATGTAGCCTGCATAAGTGTAAACTCTCCAGAGCTCAAGGCTTACTTAGCCTTGCAAGCTTGGTAAATTGAGTAGAATATGTAGCCTGCATAAGTGTAAACTCTCCAGAGTGCTTTAAGTGGTACAGGATGGTGTATTAGCAGCACACTTTGCTTTCGTTTTTTCATCTACGGGTAATAGAATGGTACTTGTATCACCACTTACATGGCGTTAACGTTTTCATTTATCATGCTTTATTATCAGTTTGGAGTATTTTGTGGAACACACAATCATTGGGGGGATTTTTTCATACAGTTGGAATTTATTTTATGTAAGATCAGTAAGTAAGACAGTCCCTGCCTGTGGGCTTATAGTAAAAGAAAATGGGATGAGATAGTAGTTCTCCTGATGACGAGCTGGAAAAAGTTGGGGAGAAGAGACTGATGGAGCTGGTCTGATTACAGCCGTTTGTTTGAATGACAGTTGTCAGGGGATTTAGCATATGAACTGGATCTAAAGTTACAAAGTTACTTCCTCTGGTTCAGTGATTATTACATCAGATGATTCTGTATTTGCCTGTTAGTAATCTTGAAATAGACAGACAATTACATCTTTAAAGATTTTTACTTTCTCAGATGTATTCGACTGGCTCTGGTTCATGATATGGCTGAATGTATAGTTGGCGACATAGCTCCTGCTGACAATATATCCAAAGAGGAGAAACACAGAAGAGAAGAGGTCAGTATTGTGGCACTAACAGCAGAATAGCCAATAAAGGTCGGCAGGCCCTCATAGTGCTTTTTCTGGAATTGCTATGTGAAAACTATTTGACTAGTTTGACAACTTGGCTTCTCCCCCTCCCCCCAAATATATTCTGTTGCTCTTTCCATGAGTTATCTATAACCACACAGTACAAGCACTGACATGTGTGGGACTTTTAACTTGATATGCATGCAAGAAGCCTTTAATATGTATCCACATAGGAGTGACTGTTATATGAGCTTGCACATTTTAAAACCTTTTTGACAAAATAGACCAAAGGTGTCAAAATATTCAAATTATAAAGTAGTGGCCACTAGAGGGCAGATGTTTCTTTTTACAGCAAGAACCTTGTTAAAGGAAATAAGATATATTTATAAAAACATAAAAATAATGGTTCTTTCTAGGAAAAAAATTCAGTGCAGATCCAACAATGCTCTTTCCCTGCTAGTGTGGCTGTAACATAGATGTATCATGATTCCAAACAAAGGGTACCCCACACAATCTGAGGTGGCATAATAATTATATGCCATCAAGTCTGTTCAGATTTACAGTGACCCAGGTCTTTTTAGGTACAAAACAATTATAAATGGTTTACCAGTGTGTCCTTCTGGCACTATGCATTGGGACTATACAACCTTCCCAAGGCTTCATAGGTGTGAGGGCACGTAACCCCATCATCCATGCACACTGGCTCATCTCTAGGAAGACACAGATTCAGACTCCTGACCATGGTCTTGCAATCGGGTGCTTCCACCTCTGACCTATTTTAGTTCTTCTGACCCTAATAGGGTTTTCAAGGTAGTGAGATATTTAAGGAGTGGTTTTACCAGTGAGTTTCCATGGCTGAGCAGGAATTTTAACCTAGGTCTCCTGGGTTGTAGTCTATTACTCTACTCACTACACCACACTGGTGTCTAAATCCCACATGACTGCTGTGAAAACTGAAATTATTGCTGCCTGTGTTGTATGGAAATCATAGTTATCTAATCATGTAATTCTGTACTTTTTTCCATGAGCATTGGAGTTTCTCTGGAGAGAAGCTCTGTTATGGAGAGAGAACTTTAGTGATGGTTAACATTATTGTTCCAGTTGCAAAATGTTTCAAAGCAGTTTATTTTCTTCAAAAAGCAGAGAAGCACGTTTTGACATCTGACTAATATCAAATGAAAAGCTGGACATTTCAATTTTGTTTTTAGGAAGCTATGAAACATTTGACCGAATTGCTGTCAGAAGATCTGAGAAAAGAAATTTTTGACTTGTGGGAAGTAAGCTTAAATATATAAAATTGTTAAATGTTGATATATTTTGTGCTAAGTTGAAGTGTTTCCAATTAGTACTTATAGAAATAAATCTATAATAGCTGCCACTCAGTGATGGGTTTGAGAAAGAAGGCAGTAACACCTGGTAGAAGGCTAGCCATCTGAGCTAAATATTCTCGGGTGTGGGAGCCACCCCCTATTTTGCTTCTCTATTGTTGTATTGTGGCTGTATTGCCATGGAGCTGTCTTGGGGTTGGTGGGCTACTACTGGTGGCAGCTATATGGTCCATCTGAGATAGTCTTACCAAAAATGGCAAGAGCTTCTTAAAAGTTGGTGGCCTTATAGATGTATTTATGACAGTTAAGAATTATTTTCATAGATACATTTTGAAACTCTTTAAAGTATTAAAGGGTGTAATGTATAAACTTCTTCCTGTTTCTTGGAACAGGAGGTAAAATGTCTTAGTCCACAGGAGTCTCGTTAACTGTGCTTCTAGCTTTCAGCCATGAATAGGAACACATCTTGAGCTCCTGGCCATCAAGAATTAAGCATGCTCCTTTAAGATGTATTTTAAAAATCCCGTTCCAGTATGCATAATCCAAAGCACTTGTGGCTTGTTTTAGGCTTACAGAATAACTGAGGTGCAGGTGAAGATTTCCTTCCATTTGCAGTGTGTCATACTGTTCATTTCAAGGGGAAGCAAAAACAAGCACCTTTGTCCATGAGCAGATAAGAGACAACACTAAACTGTATCTGAAATGCCTCCAAATGTTTAAAATGCTGGTATGAAGTATGGTTGAGTCACATAAATTTCTATACACAGATAAAACTTGCAAAAATGAGAGGTTTCAGTACTAGCAAGAGCCTTTGATTTTTACAATTATATTGATTTTTTTAGCTAAATCTGGTTTTACCAATATTTATTCTTTTAAACACACTATATATGAAACTTGCACATCAGTGTGTACATCATGTGAGTAATCCTTGTCTCTCAGTGAGAGGGTTAATTAATTTCCTCTCTTGTACATCCCATTAGGAATATGAATGCCAATCTAGTGAAGAAGCAAGGTTTGTAAAACAGTTGGACCAGTGTGAGATGATCCTTCAAGCCTTGGAGTATGAGGAGCTAGAGAAAAGACCTGGAACACTTCAAGACTTTTATGACTCAACAACAGGTATCAGCCGTTTTTGTTTGGAGCACTTACATATGAAACTCAGTATTATTTATATTGTGGGATCTGCTGCTAAATGTTGCAATATGCTTGATCAATATGCCTGCCAATCACCTAATCATACAGTGGGGTCTTGACTTGAGAACTTAATCCGTATTGGAAGGCGGTTCTCAAGTCAAAAAGTCTAAGTCAAGTCTCCATTGACCTACAGTGCATTGAAAACCGATTAATCCCGTAACAGGCCGTTTTTGTTCCATTTTGGTTTTTTTTTCGGGTCTGTAAGTCAAATCTCAGTCTGCAAGTCAAACCTAAATTTTGCGGCCAGAGAAGTCTGTAACTCAAAAAGTCTGTAAGTCAAGCCGTCTGTAAGTCAAGGGTCCACTGTATCTTAATTCACAATTTTGTATTCCATCCTCTCCCCAGTGGTTTAGAGCTGCTAGGAGGATTTTTGTATCCTTTTAAAAGCTTTTAATATGTTATTTTCCTCCTCCTGCAAACCTTGTAATTCCTTGAACATGTTGGTTCCTCCTCCATTATCAGTAGCCCTCTATTAATTATATACAGTACCTGACAATTCAGTATCTGAGTTCATGTTTTAAGGACGGACAAAATATGGCCCTCTAGATCAGCCCTAACCAGCAGTGGTGAAGAATTCTGGTAATTGCAGTCCACTGGGCTCAAGGTATTATTAATTATGTTGTCATAGTATGTAGCAGAGCAGGCAAAATGAAGACTTTTGAATTGGCTTTTGAATTGTTTTGTACCTGTTCCTTGTCTTTAGTGTAAGTTAAAAGATAACTGAAGGGCTAATAGCATACCCACTTGTACTTAATATATATTAAAAATTTAACAATTCCTTAATAGGTTAAAACAGATATTTAAGCCAGTTTTAAAAATCCATTAAAACAGAGACCACAACACAAGCCAGTTCTAGAACCATTAAAGGCCATCCAAAACAATGTAGTTGTGACTGTGCACTGGAAGCTCATCAGGAATGCAGTCAGCCTGACATCATCTGGAAGAGAGTTCCACAGCTGTTATACTGTTAGGCCTGGATTATTATTTATTTATTTTCATGACGGCTACTACCAAGAATCCTCCAGCCAGAATTCTGGCACGTGTAGCCAAAAAAATCAAAGTCCTCAAGAGGATCTTCAGTGCACACATCTGAGGCTCATCATATTCTCCTCCAAAGTCCTTGCAAAGGGAGAGATTAAGTGGAACTTGCTGAGCTCCATAAGAACTACAAGGAGCTGTGGGACTGGTAGTTTCTCTGCACATTAGCCCTGCAATCTCCTATAGTTTGGATGGAGTTTAGCAAGTCTCACCCACTCTTTTCCCTTAGCACTGGCTGCAGAGAAGAACATGCTGGGCCTACGGATGATGTACTGAAACGCCTTTGAGAAATTACGTTTTTTCATTACAGATGACAGAGTTCTGGATGGGGAAATTCCTGGTGAATTGTAGTTGTAGAGAGAAAAAAGACCCTGAAAATCCCAGGCCTAAGTATTGCTTCAGAGAAGGCCCCAACTCATGTAGTTACCACCCAGGCTTTTTGAGGTAGTGGGACAGGCACCAGGGCCACCGTTGAAAATCTGAAATTACCGGCAGTTGCACTGTTTACCCTAGTTTAGCACTGATATTTTTTACCCTACATAAGATTCCCAAAATATGCACTTCTAGAAAGCAGGTAACAACTTCATATCAGAGCTCATAACTTGCTAGAGGTAGATTATGGGGTCCCCCCCATCAGATATTTTGAACTACATCTTTATAATTCCTGCTGTTGTGAATTGCAATTCAAGGAGTATCTCTGCTTCTGCTACAGAGTGATACTCCACTGCTACCTGATACTCAATTGAAAGTGTGCAAAATGGGCTGAAAGGGTTAAGGAAATGACAGAATACAAATATGAGATGTTTAGGTTTTTTTCATGCTGTATTGTTTTAGCAAAGAATACTTTTTAAAAAGCTTATGTAGGTGAGCAAGTCAATACTGCAACACACTGAAAAATAAGAATTTCTTATAGAGGAGAGTTTTTACGAATATCACTGCCATATTCTCAGACTGAGAAAGCATGTTAACTAACCATGATATCTTGATCTACAGGAAAATTTAGTCACCCAGAAATAGTCCAGCTTGTGTCTTCGATAAATGCAGAAAGAAGTACAAAAATAGCTGCGGCAAACAACGATCTTCCATCCTGAGTCACCTATGAAATGTATTTAGCTGTATCTAAAATAAATTATTTTATGATCCCTGTATTTGTGTGTTTGGCTTTGTGGCATCATATATCTGAAAACTATTTGTTCACCAAATAAAAAATGGCAACAAATAAATCTATTATATAGGAAGTCCGATATTCTAGCATTCCATCTCCAGATAACGGCAGACCATCAAGTTATTTGTCTGAGGTATTGGCTGAATTGCAGTTTGGAAGCTGCTGCTCTAAGACTATGGCTGAAATCCTGTTTAGCATAAGCCACAACTAGAGTAAGCTCATTGAATCAGTGGAATGTAGGGGGGGGGGATTGAGTCCTCAAATTTGATTCATTGGACCTACTCCAGTTGCAACTTCCTATACTAAGCATACATGTCTTTATTTAGCATGCAACTTTTACACACACACACACACAGAGAGAGAGAGAGAGAGAGAGAGAGAGAGAGAGAGAATTTCCCCAAAAATAAGACAAGGTCTTATATTAATTTTTGCTCCAAAATACATTAGGGCTTATTTTCAGGTTATGTTTTTTTTCATGTGCAACAATCTACATTTATTCAAATGCAGTCATGTCATCTGGTTGTTGCACAATGAAGAGTGGAGTTTCACTTAACTGGGGCTTATTTTGGGGGTTGGGCTTCTATTATGAGCATCCTGAAAAATCATACTAGGTCTTATTTTTGGGGAAACAGGCCGCACACAGACACACCCCGAGATATGGACAGATATCTGTATTTCTGGACAGAAACATTTTTACATTTGATTCTGATTCTCCTAAGAAAAGACTACAGCAGAATGAAACGTTTTGTATCTATACCCTAAGTCTAAGTGTGGAGTGCTATCTTTTTCAGATGACTAGTATTTTATTGAAACAGTTGTTACTATAATGCAAAATTTAAAAGCCAGTATTATCTGTCCTACCACAATATAAACCCAGTGCATGTAGACGAGATGAAAAAATGAGAAATTCCACAAGATTCCTCTGTGTTCCAGACAATTTCTGGTTGAGAAATCAAGATTCAGATAACTCCAAACAGATACTGTACTACAGGAATTATTAATAGCATCACACTGATTTAATCTAACCAGTTGTGGGGGGGGGCAGATGCCAGAAGTCCTCAGTGGTAGAGGCTTTAGGTAGAAAAGCAGCTTGCAAAATTTATGGGTATTTAACATGTCCTAAATTAGGTGGAGAAATGAAAACTGTCTTTACTTTTGGAAGTTGTCTTTACTTTGATAATTTGATGCTCCACTTATATAAATTAAATCATGGGATTTGCAGTCAGTCTTGTGTTTGCCTAAATACTTCTGACATTAATATATCCACACAAGCACCTGACCAGCAAAGACAGGAGGTGCTTGCATAGCAGAAATCTTGTTACAATCTGCCACTACTCTTAAAAACAGCAACTGTGGTTCTCCTTCCCACACAGGCAGTCATTCACACTGTAGGAAAGTAACATCACTTAAGTAGCCACCACAGGCATGTGACATTGCATATTCACCAAGTTACTGACTTCAGGGTTGTGATCTAGGGAGGCAGAGTACAATGGTAACATAGATCATCTTTAAGGAAACATTACCACTGGCAGGAGAAGGAGCTATTTCCTGTCTGTTTCTTATGGTATGCAGTTGGGGGTCTGTCTTAGTTATAGATCAGAGACCTTGGAACACTTGAAAAATGTTGACCCTTAAACATTGTAAAACTTTCCCTCCACTGGCCAGTTTAACAACAACAAATGGAATATTTTTAAAAACACAAGTCTTAATACCTCAGCTCTCTCACACCATTTACTTTTTGACTCTGAAAAGAATAGCAATTTGCAGATACTTGCGAGGAAAAGCTAGCTGTACTGGAAAGAGATAAGTGCTTTTGCTATGAAACCAAGAGAAGAAAAGAATTTACTGTGACTCAGTGCATCAAATGGAAAGGATAGAACAATAGTGCTTAGTAATCTTATGCCTTAGGCAATGGCATATCTGGTAAATAGTCTGACCTTTAAAAAACAACCAAGTACTCATATAAGAGAAAGCAAAAACTACCTGGTCACTTATTTGAAAAGAAACCATATGTTTTGACAATGAAGTATTTAAACTGATTACTCAGAAAAATTCAATATACACCTATGAACCAATTTCTGCAACACAGGTGGAAACCATTTTCAAAAGTCTTGTCCTGAAAAAAGCTGTGTGAAGTGAGGCCTTGAGCTTTTCCTCCCTTATAAGACCCAACTTAATCCTCCATGGAATCATGTATGTAGGCAAGTGACCATATTACAAAGGAGAATTCTAAACTGAATAGTAAGTAGAGACAGCAAGCACCAATTTCTGTAATAACTACAGTTTTCTATTTTCCTCAGTCACAAGAGTCATTTGCAGGCATCTCCAAGTACTGCCTACTTCAATTTGTCTGTATCAGCTCTCTACAACCTGGTGCTCTGCAGATCTATTGGGATGGCTATACTGTCTAAGGATGATGAGACTTTTAACCAGATACTTTTAGAGAACACCAAGTTGGAGAAGGCTGTGCTCTGTCATCATACACCTACACATGCAGTCTTGTGGAGAAATAAACAAGAGTTTAATGTGTGAATAGGCTCTAGGTAGTGGAATGAGGAAAGGCAGGCTCTCCTGCAGTCTAGCACTGGAGTTCCTCTTCTGTTTCTGGGAGACGAGCGCTCACAACAGAACTCTCAGCACTGGCATGGGCAGCAGAACTAAGAACGTCTTCAAAACATCCTCCACTATGGATTGTCCCTCCAACCTTTGTCTGAAAAGAATAAGGGCAGTTAGTAAGTTATTCTGTCTAAATATATTAACTCATTTCTCCCACTTTTCTCAGCTAAACAATGCACATTATAATCATGAGAATGGGAGTTGTGATCTTAGATGCTAAGAGAGTTCATTTGTGTTATTTTTTGTTTCACCAGCTCACAACGTAGCTAAATAGTGTTAGGTGCCTTCTGGAAGAAAAGGCAGAAAAACAACGTCCACTTGCTTGGTGCTAGAAGGTAGGCTGAACCTGAGAATTATGTATTTCTATAACATCTACAAAAATGTGAAAGGCAAGGTGAAAACTAAAATATGCATATTAAACATCAGCATGGCTAAAACTAACTTTCTGTTATAGAATTGGTTCTGTTTCATTCTACAGCTCATAATAAATGTTTTCTAACATTAAAAACTGGTTGATGAGGTATTCTTAAAACTATACGCAAAATCAGTTTTGAATCCAGCTGCCTACTCTCATATATCAGTCTAAACTTCTAAAATCTAAATGCAAGCAAAACAGGAAAGCTATCCTGCTGACAAACATTATTATAAAACATAAGGTTTCAAGATTATCAGGTGACAGTGGTTTATAAATCTGTAGCGCTTAGTCTATTTCCAAGATTTATAAATTTCTAATAGCTCCTAGGGCAATACAGGAGGAAAACAGAAACATTAGATTAATAAAATAAAAAAAATCCTTTGCAGTGTCTGCCTATTTATGACAAGCTTTAGTGAACAGTAGGACTTACTTGTGAGTAGTTATGTATAGGACATTTGTAAACATTAAATTTGGCTGAAAGCTGAATGTACTTGAAAAATTGGAAAAAATATCAGGTGCTGAAAAAGAAAGTGAAGATTTCAGGGAAATCTAAGCAGCATTTGACACAAGTGCCAGCAGAGACTGCTAGGTGTTAACAAAGCCAGCTCCTAATACCATGTTTGTACCATAATACCTCTTGTCATATTTAATTTCATACAAGTTTGTCCCTTCTAAATTGAAAGCATTTCATGAGTATTTTGTTGCTTTCCGTGTTCTGAGCTCAGGCATCTTTCTTTCTAAACAATGTTGAGGTTCTCAGCTGGGTATCACAGACCAGTAATATGACCTTTACTTTACAAATGCTTAAAGTAACCTTTAACAATCTGTGGTGAGTCATCTTTCTTCTTTTGTTGTTATAATCAGTGTATTTTGGATCATATGAATACTAAACTGCAACTGCATTAAGGCTTCCTTAATCTTCCTGAAGATCATTGCAATTACTTGCTTTTAAATATGTTTACAAGGAATATAATACAACAAATAAAACAGGCTTGGCAGAGTGCTTGTTAAAGAATGATGTAGTATGATTAATTCTAGTAAATGAGGGAGCCCTGAGTGTGAAGTGCACATACATGCATGTGTGCATCTATCTACACATGCATTTACTCTAAACTTATTTAATCTTGGCTCTTGAACATTGATGCAATCAGGATACTTAACACATGAGAACATGTTTAGACTTGGACTTTGATGATCCTCCAGAAGGAAGTTCCACAGTTATGGTCCAGCTCCAAGAACATCTGTTGCCATTACTAAGAGTAGGGGCATAAATTGTTGATTCAGAAAAATGCTCTGAATTGATCTGAGAAGTCATGATAAGATGAATAACAGAATGCAAGCACAGTAGTTGTTTGGCATTAAGAGTGTACTAACTTGTATACACCCCCTGGAAGGAACAGTACATAATTAATTTTAGCATGAGGTGTAGATTACTCAGCCTTTTGCACTATGTTGAGCAAAAGATCCTAAAGAAAACCTAGTACAAACATATCCTTTCTGTTTGTTCTTATTCCTTACCTTAAGGCTTGTGACAGTTGTCTCAACCTTCTCCTCAAAGGATTTGAATGTAGGTGAATTCCTAAAGCAATAAAACCAAAAGAAACATTAACTTTCCTTAATGTAGTCATATTTTTCTTTGCTTCTCAATGTGGCCAGAACTGAAGGAAGGAAGGATGCTTGTCAGAATGCATTCCAGCAATCATAGCATGTACTAGTTTTATATATTTATATTTATAGTTGATAAAAACACATAAAATAACTATGTGCAGGCCTAGATCTTGTCACTGTTTTTTCACACCAATTAAATCACTATGCGCTGTTTCAGTGGCTGCAAGAATTCTATGGTTGTTGTGGGTTTTTCGGGCTCTTTGGCGGTGTTCTGAAGGTTGTTCTTCCTAACGTTTCGCCAGTCTCTGTGGCGGGCATCTTCAGAGGACAGCACTCTGAAGCTGGGTATCCAGAGCACAGAGTGCTGTCCTCTGAAGATGCCGGCCACAGAGACTGCCAAAAGGTTAGGAAGAACAACCTTCAGAACACGGCCAAAGAGCCTGAAAAACCCACAACAACCATTAGATCCCGTCCATGAAAGCCTTCACAAATAGAAGAATTCTATGCTATGGAATAGATTCAATAACTGATAGTACAGGAGTTTATTTAAATCCATAAAATACTATCAAAATAATTATTAAATGATTTTGACTAAGATTTCTGCTCAACTAAGCTATTTCTGTTTTATTTCTGCAGCATTTGTTTGATTCATTAATAAATATTACTATCCTTTTCTGTTATCTTTTATTTCTTGGAAATTTTCGTATTGGTAAACTTCAGCCTCAAAATGTTTTCCTTCTGCTTTCCTGAAATAGGAACAGAGCTCTCTCTTTATGAGGACCTTATATCTTATTATGTCACAAGTCTTTCTCTAACGAAATAAAAATACAGATCAGGGAAGGTTTAAAATGCCCAATTAGCATTCTTTTAATTTGTGTAGTTGCACATAATTCTTCCAAATGCTCACTAAACAGTAAAAGCAGCACGGTCAAGATCATTAAAAAAATAGTCTTAGTGCAAATAATGATAAAACATTTACCTCATAGCAGGCATACTTATGGAATGGCGGATAGAGTAACTGTTTCCACAGCATGAGACAAAAGAAAGAAAATATAAAACTATTAATATAGGTTTCAACTGACCAACGTAAATTTAGTTTATGTGCATATGTGCTTGTGCACACGTGTGTGCACTATATGCTGTTACATTGATTCCAATTTATGCAGAAACTTCTGGGATTTCTGGGGACAGCGAATCCTCAGAGGAGAGTTTTCCACTCAGGTCCTCCTTCTGGCGGAGCTGTGGGACTGTAGTTTGCCCAAGTCCACACAGGCAACAAGCAATGTTAACTCCCATCAGTGGGACATGCTGTAGGTGATCTCAGCTGGCCCCTCAGACTAACTGCATTTCTGGGAAAGAACAGGGCACATAACTCTATACAAATCAACAAAAAATTGCATGACAGTTTCCAAGAACAGAAGAGTGAGAAGGGACTATGAAGATGAGGATAGGAAAAAGGAAGCACTAGGAAAAAGGGAGAAGAGATATCTTAAAAGAGGCAGCAAGGACCTCACAGACACTTTTGAGCACAGGATCATTGGTCCTATACATGTGTTATGTGTTGATCAGCACATAACACATTCAAGGTTTCTGAGACTGATCAGAAAGCAGAATATGAATCAGGCCAACATTCCACATATTATTTAAATATTGTATCTGTAAATCCATTTTCCATAATAATACTATGAGCTCTTGCCTAGTAAGTTAGTGGCTGAAAACAAGTCAACAGTTATGCAAAAGGCAACAGTTTAAGATGTAAACTGCTGTACGTTTAGTAAGATTTGGATTCATTATCTGATACATGCCAAGTCATGTCTCTAGAAATTGTGCCTTTTGTGTTAGCTGCACAAGATATCAGCCAGTGTTTGCTAATTAATTATTTAATAATTTGTGCATAGTTTCAACTGCTGAAACTATGCATGCAAATCTGTGCATATACAGAGGACAAAACTGAATGAATGTTGAAACTATGCATGCAAATCTGTGCAAGCATATCTCTTTTCTATATACAGAGGACAAAACTGAATGAATGTTGTCCTGTACTTTTATACATATCCTTGAATACTCATAGAAGTTTTTTTAAAATGGAACTGAGAAGTACATGTTTCTTCTCTCTAACTGATCTCCTTTATCAACAGCTTTGTTTTATAGTAACATTTTAAAGTTTTCTTTTCAGCCTGTTTGTCAAGATGTGAATCTCTGTATGTATAGTGTTAATAAAATCCAGGCGCCAAATAAAAAATAATCCCGAAAACGAACATGCTTTTAAAATTGAGGCTTGAGCAATAGTCTAACATTTTAAAGTTTTCTCTTCAGCCTGTTTGTCAATATGTGAATTTCTGTATGTATAATGTTAATAAAATCCAGGTGCCAAATAAAAAATAATCCCGAAAATGAACATGCTTTTAAAATTGAGGCTTGAACAATAGTTTACTATAGTCATTCCAACACAAATAGCTGGCTCTCCGGCTGAGCAAGGTCACTCTACAATAATGTTCTTAACTGCTGAACATATTTTAGAGATTATAACAAAGCATAAACAAAGGATGTATGTCTTATAACTTTCAGTCCTTGTAGTCCAATTCCTTGTAACAACAACATTCTGGTGTTCCAGACCCTTGGAGTTACAGTATCCCGGAGCATCAAATGCTTTATTCCAGAGAGCCTTATTTCTGTAGGGCAGTGGTTCCCAACCTTGGGTCCCCAGATCTACTTGGACTACAACTCCCAGAAATCCTGGCCAGCACATCTTGTGGTAAAGGCTTCTGGGAACTGCAGTCCAAGAACATCTGGGGACCCAAGGTTGGGAACCACTGTTCTAAGGATTGCTAAATTTTACTCAGAAAAATAACATAATTGCAGTGGCAGCCTGCCACATATTAAGCTACGGACCCCTGGAGTGAGAAATTTCTGCAGGAACTACTGAGATTCCTATTAAAAAACGTCTGGGTATTCCAGGCCTCTGAAACCCCAAGCTTTGTTGTTTATAACTGATAAAGAAAAGGTAATGGTTTGAATAACAGCCAGAAAAGATAGCCAGGGCAAGGAGCAAGGGATCCTAGGAAAGCAACATTTGAGGGGCAAAAACTGCCAGAGGGGGTGAATTTTTTCCTACCTGCTGTGAGTTTATAATTTTTTATGCTTTAGTTTAATCTATTAACTACCTAGCTTGTTAAGATATTTTCACAGATGTGATTAAAGTGAGAGTTTAACTTTTATAACTTAGAAGGTATGCCTTTAATTTTTTTTAATACAGTATTTACTATTCTGTAACACTTTAGGTACAGTTGTATTATTATGGAATATATAAGTAACTAACAAAACTTTAAAATGTTCTAACCAAAATTAATATGATATAATGAAATCATATTAATTTTGGTTAGAGCATTTTAAAGTTTTGTTAGTTATATTTTCCATTTAGTTCATTTCATTTTTATAGATAAGATTTTTTTAAAATCATTAGATAGTCAACCACATACACAGTTTACATCTGCTTGCATGTGCCTGTTAAATAAAAAGAAGGCATTTTTTTGAACATTTGGTTTATTTGTCTTGCATGGAACAAATACATTAAAGGATGTTCAGAAGAACGGAGAATTGTACAAGACGCAGAAAATTCCTTTGGATCATACTGGAATCAACCCTTTTGAGATAAATACCAGCTGATACCAGGCTTCTGATTTTTTTTCTGGGGGTCTATGAAGTTCTGTAAGACTCTTAGGGAGAGGTTCAGGTGTCAGTTTATCTGACCTGACACATTCACTTTCACTTCAGCAGATTGAACTTTCTTTTTGATAAAGCCCAATTAGCTTTACGTTCTACACTGATGTGTAAGAGACTAGAGAGAGCAGGTGGATTTAGGTAGCTTTAGAGAATAAGAATTTCTGTAACAAATTAAGATCTAAAATCATGATATGAAATTGTTCTAAGATGCTGGCTTGTATTGAAGCTAGTAATCATCATTCTCCAGTCCAAATTAAACAGAAAACTGTATTTGTAAACATATGGATTTGTCATAAGAAGCAAGGGCAGGTTAAAACTTGGTTGTGTGTTGTTATATGCCATCAAGTCATTTTCAGCTTACAGCAATCCTACAAACCAATTGAAATCTCTCAATTTAAGACCATAGTTTCCATAGTGAATCAATCCATCTCAGTTTAGGCCTTACTGCTTTCCTACTGCTTTTCACTTTTCCTAGCATTATTGTCTTTTCCAGTGAGTCTTCCTTCCTCATGATAGGTTCAAAGTATCAAAGGCTCTGCTTAGTCATTTCAGCTTCTAGTGAGACTTCAGTAAAGTTCTCTTCCAACATCACATTTCAAACAGATTTGTTCAAAATATAAATAGATCTATTTGCTTTTGAGAAACACATTTTGAATGCCTTCATCATACGAAATGAGAACTAACCTAATTAAAATGCCTTATGGAGTTTTCTTCAGAGACTTAGTTTAAATAATAATTTCTAATCTTGCACCCCACAGAAGGAAAAACATATTGCATCCTTTTACACAAAACAAACTACAGCAACTACAGCAACAACAGACATTTCTCTTACCCAAGTGAATATGACCTGGAAAGCCAGCATAAGGAAAAAGGAAGAAGAATTGATTACAGGTATATTGTCACTGAAACGATGTTTTAAAACCTGACACTGAATATGGAACATCAGGAAGAATGCATTATTTTGCTTAGTGTTCATGCACTAATGCAAAGCCTGCAAACTCTGACAACATCCAGATTGGTCATGTGGTCAGTAGGTATGTGTAGAAATGGTGTGTGTCTGGAGGCCACAAGAGTAGACCATCAACATTCCAAGTATGGAAGCAAGCTATTATGAAGATCCTTTTTGCCTAACTAGAAAACCCACAAAGACGGAATTGCTCAAAAGCTGAGAAAATACTCAGTTTTCACTTCACATAGTGGTATTTTCAAATTGCCATTTTTCATAATCTAAGTATGTGCATGCTAAATGCTGGTAAGTCACCTAAAAAACTGCTTGTAGCCATACTGAAAAATATGGTGAGCTCCTTGCTGCCACAACCAGCTGCAATCTCAGATTGGGTTGATGACAGAACATAATTCAGTCTGCAAATGTAGCTCCCAAAAGACTGCCAATTAGCTATGAAATTCTAAGTAATTCATGCCTATTACTGAAGCCATCACATTCCACATGCAAATTCATGTGCACAGAACTACTTAACATAAATAGCCCTGGTCCATGACTCTCTTAAAGAAGTGAAATGGAACAGAAAACATGTAATTATTATTTTATGCCTAAAAACCATATTAATATTTAAGGAAGGGTATTGAGAGAAGAGAATATACTGTATGTGTATCTCCATCTAAATAAATAATACACAAGGGATGTTTCAAAGACTTCCAATTCACTGTTTCTGTTCAATCAAACTGACTGCAACAGATGCAATTTCACGATTTACTGGGGCCAATTTACTTACAAGATTAATGATCAGAGCAGATTATGAAGCAGAATTAAAAGCAAGGGTGTGCTAGAAGCACTAGGAATTGTTTGCTGCGTGAGGGTCAATCTACCAAATACTGCTGCTGTGCATATCTTAATGCAATAGGACCTGTATTAAGCAAAATCAATTGGAGTAAATGGAAGTTGTGCAGTGGTGATGCTTGGTGGAGTTCACCCTTGGCAAATACAGTTTGATACAACATGTTCAGTTAGTGGTTTAAAAAGTGACAGTTCCTGCAAAGGCAAATACCCTGCTGATCTAAACTAGATTAGCAAATAAATTCAAAAGCATGCTGCTTGTATACTGCCCATCAGCGCTTAAAGCACTCTCTCAGCGGTTTACAATTTTAATTATGCAAGCTATGCATTGAACACACCCACCCATTGAACTGGGTACTCAAGTTACTGACTTTGGAAGGGTGGAAGCTAAATGAACCCAGGTGGTGAGCAGTTTTGGCTGCAGTGCTGCAGTTTAACTACTGTGCCATAAGACCCCTTGGTGGTGGGAACCTTGTCGCATCCTGAACTTGGTTACTTCGTAAATAGTGTCAAAGAAATTAGAAATTGTTACCAATTTTTCATTCTTCATATAAGGAACACATACTATTTTTGATTCGATAGCAAATGCTGCACTTCCTTATCTAATTAAATGTCTATTTAATTCCTAGCTTTTCTTTTTTGACATCTTCACCCTCATTTATTAAGGATCCATTAAGAATAACAGAGGGAAGAGGACCATTGCTACAGGGCTTCTGTGCCCAGTTGGAGATCCAACTCTCTGCATCAGCATCCCAAGTGAGAAGAGACAGTAGAAGCAAAAGCTTTTGCAGTGTTATATCTCGTATTGAATACACCTTGTAATGAGTGACTGAGTGAGAACCACCGTCTCTCTCACTCATTCACTACAAAGCCTTTAATCCTCCCAATGGCCACTTCAAGTTCCTTATGCCTGTGACCCTCCAGAACAGCAGAAACTTTCTTCTGGAGTCTCAAGGGCTTACTCTGCTACAAATCTAATGTGAGGGATACTGAGGCCAAAGATTTATGTTTGGGGTCATCTCTAGGGCAGGAAACCAAAATATGTATTTCCTCAGATTTTGCACAAGGTGTCTAGTCTTTCTACAAGCTTCACCCATTTTAAAATTTTTAAAAAAACTCTCAGGCTTCATTTGTGAGGGGGAAAAAGCTTTAAGCTCAAGTATGCTCATAGTTTGAATCCCACCTCTTCACTTGGTTGTACCCACCAGTAAAATGTGACCCTCAAAATTTTTCAGAAATTGAATTTAGCTCTTGCTGTAATGAAAGTTATCTTTCCTGAAAGTTTGTCACGAAATATCCTTTACATTCAGATACATATAGTATTTACACTGAAATGATTTACTGAGGAATAAGTTACACTGAGTTTAATATTGTTTAGAGCAAAACCCTATTATTGACTTATGCTGGTATATGAGAACATAATCAGCAGCTTGTTAATGAGTGGCAGTTTACTGTCACAACTTATGCAATGTAAGTGTAAATTGACCAGAGGATTCTGATCATTAAATGATGGGCAGGTTTCACAGATTAAATACTGCAAACACTACTCCATTATCAGGTCTTATTTCTCAAACCTATTGAAATAAATCCAGACAGACTGCTCTAAATCGAACAATAAATGAGTGACCTTGACATACCTTGTTATGTATAGCACAGCTCAAACCTAAAGGCTCTGGGGACGAAGGCACAGGTCTGTATTGCCTTGGCCTCTGAACATTTAGGGGAGTTAAAAAGCAGTTATTGACTCAAAACACTAAGCAATGACATCTTGGTCTAAATTTATCTTGCCAGGCTAATCATCAAGCTGTAATCAGCCCTTCAGTCTCCCTGCACAAAACCTGCCTTCCAAACTACTTTGGTACATTTCCCTGATAAATTAAATAAAAAATGGTGCTCTCAGATCCAAATTGGCAAGGAAGGTATTCTTTAGGAAGCTATGCTGTGAATAGTAAGCTTGTGAATGAAATAAAACAGACATGCTTTCTGAACTGTCTTAAATTCATTTTAAGTTTTTGACTTCAAAATTCTTCAAGAAGTCCATTTGTCCCAAGTGTGTGGAGCAATTCTGCAATCTTGTGAGGAGTTTCCTGTACCCCTTGGAGTTCCACTTACTCCCAATTTAAAAAAATATAAGGAATATGTTTTTGTTGCCCATTTGAGAACATGAGGGGCCTTTCTCAGTTTAACATTTAAACATTTCACCCTATTTTCAGTTAACTAAATCCACTGTAGCAACTCTTGCAAGTATATAATTACTCCATAGTTTTTTTGGGGGGGGAATTAAGCAAATTAGGGGGTGCTCCCAGCAGATCTGAAAAACAGCTCTCAGTCCTGCTGAGGTTATCTATCCCTTAAAAAGAGGAAGATAAGGAAAGGAGAGAAGGAATAATAATTGACAGAGAAAATGACTACAAGTTCAATGAGATCACGTGTAGTCCATTGGCTTTGTTTCAGCTGTGAAACAAGGAAATAAGAATGCCAGCATTAACAGATAATTATCAGAATCCTGAAATAAATGGAAGTAAGAGACAGGGATCTCCCCACTACCACCACATATTTAAGTCAACATGAGGTTTTCCACTACAGCCAGGAATGCAGATGCAACTTCCAGGCCATATATGATGTGAATCAGGATTTCTTGTAATTTTTGTTTTATAAATCTGTAGTTCTAGGATGCTCTTTTGAAAACTTAGAAGTAGCTCCCTGAAGGAGCCACTTCACTGAATCATCCTGTACCCTCTTAGTCCAAATGCCTGCCTATAATCAAACCTGCTATTAAGCCGTGGTAAGTGGGATGAGGTAAGGTGGATACAGATTTAAAACAGTTGTCCTATAACCCTGTAGGTCTGAAGAGTGCTTCTTACTAGTCTAATGCAGGGATATTCAACAGTTACTTCTACTTCCAAGTATCACATGCAGAAATCTAGTTGCTTACTACTCTAGGTGACTTACAATATAGCAATGAAACATAATTAGAATTCAATAAAAATCAGATTAAAATAAATAAAAAAAACCTAAACATGTAGTAACTATATACAAAAATAGCCAACAGAACAGATAGCAGCAAAACAGAAACAATTAAGAAAATAATAAAGTGATATCAATTCTGCAGACCAGTATCTTGAAGATGGTGAAGAGAAGTGTGAAAGACAATGGATTGTTTAACAGAAATCTACTGCCTTGGAAATCTGAAAGAATATGACAATCACTGTATTGGTATTTCCAAGCATAGCATGGAGGCAAATATATCGTCTTCAAACATTTCTGGAAAAGAATTAGGTTAAGGCTTAACATTTTTAGTACTGTTTATGAAATGGAATTCTAATATTCTTCAGCTTTTATGGCAATGTGCTAACATCTTAAATTAGAGATACTTCCTGAAAAAGTAAAAGTTGGCTGAACAAAAATTTAATTTACATCTCATAAGGATGTGATTCTCTGTGTGTCGTAGTGAATAGAGTAACACACCAGGACTCTGGAGAACAGGGTTCAAATGGCCATGGAAACTCAATGGGGGGGAGTGAAATTGGTAAAACTACTCCTTAAATATTTCACTTACCTTGAAAGCCCTATTAAGGTCATTGCAAGTTGGTTCCAACTCGACCACACAGAACACACACACAAGGATGTAAAATAATAATCAGGTAAGACATGACTAAATTTTCTCCTAGAAATGAATCCCACATTCTGTACCTCATATCTCCAAACTTCTTACTGATGACTGTTCCAACATTACTGATAGCTGCTGTGGCCTTTTGCCCTGCTTGACTCAGAGTCTCCTGTGTCTTCTTATATCTGAAATTAAAGGACACAGTATAAATATTCATTACAATATAAAACAAGATTTAGCCCATTAAGCCACAGTAATAAAAAGTTGTCACTGCTGCATGTTAGATTTGCCACCAAATCATCACTTTTGTGTATGAAACTGAGATAGCAGAATGCTAAATTCACTTGTCAGAACAGTATAAAAGTAGCATGTCTTTTAATAATAGTGTACTAAATCATTTTTCAGTTGAAATATGGGGTGTTGCCATATGGTCCCTGTAACTTGCCATGGTTAATTCTGGTTAACTGACAAGGTAGCAGTTATAACAAGATGAGATATAACAAGATGCTCATCTATAACAAAGCCACTAGCTGAAGTAAAATAATAATGGACTTATGTAAGGATCCATAAAAAATTGGAAATGCAAGTAAGAGGGAACATTTTTTGAGTGTGTCAATCTGCCCACTACCTCTTCTCAAACACTTGGAATTAATAAAAAAAATTGGACCATACCACGTAAGAAGGCAGGTTTTTAAACATCCCTTTCCATTGAAAATGTCTACCTACATGGACATAACAACATATTAGCAAGGTCAATGTGTTGCTGAGGGAAGGTTGAAGCAATGCTTTTCCACACACCAGAGCCCCCCAGACAGACACCACACTGCCTCCCATGCCCAGACCCTAAGCAAAGTACTTGCACTGTGCCCCAGCTTTCACACTGCTTTTTCACCTTGGAACAAATCAAGTCTCCGTTGTTCATGGTTGCTATGCACACAAGCTACTTTTCCCCCAGGTGCCCTGTACTTGTACTCAGGATGCTTCAGAAGAAAGACAGTCTTTGTTCACCGACTGTAGGGAAAACAGAACTTCCAAGAGAAACATTCTGCCTGTCGTGGTTCCATTATCATTCGACCCTGAGCCAATCAAAACACAGCTATTTGTGCCTCAGTGGGGCATCTCTGTTCAGAGGCATAGCTAGGCTGGGGAAACAGTTCAGCTTCATGTTGACAGCAGTAGGTGGCAGAGCCCATGGCCTGGCACAAAAGAAGCTGGGGAAACAGTTCAGCCTCATGTTGACAGAAGTGGCAGAGCCCATGGCCTGGCACAAAAGAAGCTGCTGCCTTGCGCATGCCTGGCACTGTGAAGTCACAAGTAGAGTCACTGCTGCTTTTGCCTGGATGACCTGTATGCCAGTGTGCTCACTCAGGTGTGTAGGCCATGGACCAGAACCACAGAGTGGAACAACAAATAATAACACTAACACTGGGTTTATTGATTGCAGCACCTCAAATTCCTGCAGCTGGGTATATGTAATTTCAATTGTCACTACTATGGGGAATAAACTGAAACTCTAGCAGAATCTATTTCATAATCTGACATTTACTGTTTCACTGTAACAAAAAAGTGTGCTGCTTATTTGTTTACATCTATTTTGGACTCCTGGTTTAGGCAAGGTTGCTTCCTTATCTGTGTTTTCCTTATTCCATGTGTCAGAAAAGAGGTTTGCTTTTAAAAATATTACTGGGCTTTGATTCTTATAATATACCAAATATGGTACATTGGATCATAGTGATGTTGAGGGGTTTCCCTTTGCCCATGAGAGGAAGGCAAGATTCAGAACTGGACAAGAAGCTATGTTTTGCCATATGTGAGAAAAGTAGCCAACAGCAATTTTTTTTAAAAAAAGCAAAGGGTACACAAAAGCAAAACTGAGATTTCCCTGACTTTTTATTCAAAGTTTTTTTTAATAAAAAATAATTAATTTTTATCCAAAATATTATTTAAAGCCTCCTTGTATTTAAGTGAGATGAGCTGGGCCTTCAGTGATTATGAATGAGGAGAGGATGACGCACCAAGAAAGAGCTCTTGCTGTTTTGGTTTCTGTCTTGTGGGCTTGTTGCCTCTCTTTTTATTCTTGCATATTTCCTCATGTGGTTAAAGACAAAGTTTATCCTTCCCAATCCTTTATACCAATGTAAGTTAGAAAAACAAGGAAACAACTAAAATTATGTGATGCATTCCTCATCAGCAAGCTGTTCCAAATACAGTTTCTTTCTTTTTACATGTATCAACATTCCTATGAACAGTAATACTTGAAAAACCTCTAGGTGGCCCTCAGTACAACTCTAGGTATGTCGACTCTGAAGTAAGCCTCTCTGAATTCAATGGAACCCATCTGCAATTAAATGTATAAAAAGTGCAGCCTTAGGCTTTTAAAAGGTACAAATTCTTCTCAGTCATTTTGCAAGCCTTAAACCTTTTCCAAAGACCATTCCCTGAAAAAACAAAATGCATGAGAAATAATTCCTTTCTGCCTACATGTATGAATCAGTTCACTAAATATCATAAGGTGCTAAAAGGTAAAGGTAAAGGTTCTCCTTGACAGTTTTAGTCCAGTCGTGTCCAACTAGGGGGCGGCGCTCATCCCGCTTTTCAAGCCATAGAGCCAGCGCCTGTCCGAAGACAGTTTCCATTGTCACGTGGCTAGCATGACTAGGGAACGCTGTTTTACCTTCCCACCAAGATGGTACCTATTTACCTACTCACATTTACATGCTTTCGAACTGCTAGATTGGTAAGGAGCTGGGACAAAGTGACGGGAGCTCACTCTGTCACATGGATTCGATCTTACGACTGCTGGTCTTCTGACCCTGCAGCACAGGCTTCTGCGGTTTAGCCCACACCGCCACCATAAGGTGCTACAGTAATGCTATTTCCTGCCACCGAAAAAACAATACTGCATTATTTTATCCATTTACCAGAGAGTAAGCTCACTGTATTTAGCAAGATTAACTTCTAAGTAAACATGTATATGATTGTAGTGCTAACAAGTATATCCTTCTGCATTTAGAAGTACCATAATATCTAATTCTGGGGGGTCATGATGCTTCTGAAAGCACCCTTAAAAAATCCCACCAGCATGCTCCACTCCTGAATTTCACTGACAAATGGGGGAAAAAATTAAAACATTTAAAAATAACAGTTTTGTCTGCTTTCAATGCAGGGGTTTGCCACTTATTTTAAGCGGCTTGTAGTAGTTCAATATTAGTTTTATATGCTTTGTTACGATTCAACTACAATGCATTTAAGGCAAGCAATGTTTCCCTCAGTTGCTCCTGAATTTCAGTATCAGGGACAGGGGGGATGCACCCCCACATCACCTGCTGCAATTACTCACCCTGATCTATATTTTAAGTCGTTGCTTAGAGTGATGACAGAGGTGACCCAGTTCTGGACAGAGCCAACTGAAGACAATTCCACTATTCCAAGTGACCAATGCTTAGCTGCCTTCCTGATCTTATGTATCCTACCGCACATCTCTCTTTCTCTACTTATCCTAACTCAGCTTTGTCTGCCCTCTCCTCTGTTCCATCAGCCACCACTATTTAAGACTACTATGGCAGCAGTCGCCAACCTTTTTGGGACCGTGGACCGGCTGAGCCTCCGAGGAAGGCACCCCCCGCAGGTGCACGCACGCTCTCAGGCACATGGGGAAAGCGGTGGGGGAACGCCCACCTGCCCACACCTGGCGTGGGTGCTCCCCCACCCCTTTGCGCATGCACAGGGGCACCTACCTGCCTGCCTGCCTGCCTGCCCGCCCACC